AATATTTATAGCAATATACAGGGTGTTAAAAAAAGAGTGTAAAATATTTCAGAAGGTAACAGTATGAACCAAAATAAGCAGAAAAGTCTTAATAAACATGGGTCCGCAAAGTAACGGTTGCGGAGATATGGACCACTATTCGTTTTTCAAACATTTTATTTTATTAGGAATAAACCGACAAAGGAAGCTTTTAACAAACAAAAAACAAAGTTACAGAAGATGTTCAAAGTGCCCTCCGTCCATTTCCAAGCAGGCACGACATCTTCGTCTCAACGATATTCGAACTCTTTCGAAAACACCCTCCTTGGTTTGGATTTCTTGACACTTTTGATTAATCCGTAGCTGCAGCTCTTCCAGGCTATTTACAGGAGTACCATACACTAATGTCTTCAAATATCCCCAAACAAAGAAATCTAGAGGGTTCAGATCAGGCGATCTTGGAGGCCATAAAACAGGTCCGGCCCTTCCTACCCATCTATGTGGAAAAGTTTGGTGTAAATGCTCTCTAACGGCCATGGAAAAATGAGCTGGAGCACCATCATGCTGGAACCACATTTGTTGCCTCTGATTCAAAGGAATGTCTTCCAAAAACTCATACAGTGTGTTCTGCAGAAAGTTGAGGTAAGCAGCGCCTGTTAATCGGTTTGGTAAAACAACAGGACCTAGAAACCTGTCACCTACAATACCCATCCAAATGTTTAATGAAAAACGTGCCTGATGTCCAGATTCTATTAGAGCATGAGGATTTTCGTCGGCCCAAATATGCGTATTGTGAAAATTAAACACTCCATTTCTTGTGAACCCGGCCTCATCAGTAAAAAGAATGTTTGCAAGAAAACGAGGGTCTTCAGCATCATGACGTAGAAACCAGCGGCAAAAAACCAAACGTGCTTGATGATCATTTATTGGATTTAAGGCCTGTACTCGTTGCACATGGTATGGATAAAGCAGTTGCTCGTGAAGGATTCTCCAAACAAGAGGACCACTAATTCCTACCTCGGCTGATATTCTCCGCACACTCGTACCTGGATTCTGCTCTACCAGTGCTAGAATTTCTTCTTCTGCTCTAGGAGTGGATACCGACCTTGGTCTTCCGGATAAATGGCACTGTTTGCTCAAGGAACCGGTATCACGCAATCTTTGGTGAATTCTTCCAAACATGCGTTGTGAAGGAATCTGGCGATTTGGATAAGCGTCAACATAAAGACGTCGCGCTTCGGTGGCGTTCCCATTAGCACGACCATACATGAAATGCATGTCTGTTAATTCTGCGTTAGAGTAACCAGCCATAGCGAAAGAAAACTTGTGCACTGAGAACAACTGTCAAATACGTACTGTTTGTTTCACTAAACATCAACCAGCTATTATAAGAAAATACACAACGATTTTGCAAAATAAAAAAAGGGGTAAAAAACATAAAACATTCCATATCTCCGCAACCGTTACTTTGCGGACCCATGTTTATTTTGCTTATTTTGGTTCATACTATTACCTCCTTAAATATTTTACAATCTTTTTTTAACACCCTGTAGTTATCTATACTGATCTTTACTGGAAAAAATACTAGAAAAAGTGTACCTTTTAACCTCTTCACCATAAGAAGATACCTTCTTGTAATAGTAAAGCATTGATATAAGATAGTAGAATCATGCTAGCAAAATAATTTTTATTAAGCTTGGTATATGTCATTTCAACACTAAGAAGAAAAATTATAGATTATCTTCTTATTGTATACAGGGTGTCCCGTTCATGTTGTGTGCATGATCCTCATGGAAAAATAATAGGGGTAGTTCATGTAAAGTTTTTTTCTTAGACGTCCTGTTTTCGAGATACAGTGTGTTGAAGTTGTTACTATCCAAATGGTTTCCTTTAATTATCTTTAAATCGGCTAAAGATAAAAATGTTAAAATTTGTACACGAGTAAACATCAACTGTGCGTTAAGAATAATGTGTAAACGGTTTATTTCTGAAAAGCAGTGTCGCCGATACAGGTAATTGGAGGGGTACAATCGAAAACAATATGTTAAAAGTAAAAATTTATTACATTTCTAAACGGTTCTGTAAACTCCAAAATATACTACAAAAAAAAAGGTATACATGTCGAAATTCGGTAGCATGTACCATTTTCGAGAAAAATGAAGTTGCATAGAGTGAAATGGGGGACAATTTCAGTATCTACTGCAGTATCTTGAGTTTGCACATTTATTTAATTGTGCAGCTGTTTTGTTCTGTATGTCTCCGCGTTTGTTTATTAATATTTTTCTGTTTTTATCACTTTTTTTAAGCATTCGTGTCCATCAATAATTCAGTCCATTCAACAATTGTTTATTTTAGTAATGGTAGTGTAGTAGTTTATAAAATCTAAAATTAGTTAATAATAGATCATTAATTACTATAATCTGTTTATTTTTATTTACTTTTTTAAATGTTAGTTTACAACAAACTGAAACTTAAAATTTCTATTTTTTTTTAGTTGTACAATTTAAATGTTTGTGTGATATGTAGGAAATTAAAATTATAGTCTTAAATGCAAATACTGTTGGAAGCTAAATGTCTTCAGCTCATTCAATGTTAAGGTCCTCTTTCAATTTAACATTTTGTTATCTACTTGTGTCGTTTTATTTGAGCAAAAAAAATGCAACTTAATTTTTCTCGAAAATGGTACGTGCTACCGAATGTCGACGAATATACCTTTTTTTTGTAGTATCCTTTAGAGTTTACAGAACCGTTTAGAAATGTAATAAATTTTGACTTTTAACATATTTTTTCTTCAATTGTACCCCTTCAATTACCCGTATCAGCGACACTGCTTTTCAGAAAGAAACCGTTTGTACATTATTCTTAACGCACAGTTGATGTTTACTCGTGTATAAATTTTGATATTTTTATCTTTAGCCGATTTAAAGATAATTAAGGAAAACCATATGGCAAGTAACAACTTCAACACACTGTATCTCGAAAACAGGGCGTCTAAGAAAAAAACTTTACATGAACGGGAATTATTTTCCCATGGGGAATTTGCACACATGAGCGGGACACCCTGTATATTCTCTCAAATAATATTTTTCCTAAAAGTTACAGGGTTCTTTAAAGATGGGTTTTGAACCAACATGTTTAATTAACTAATTATATGAATTCTTAACAAATTATTCGTACGGATATGAATAGTGGTTTGATACAGATGTTTTTTTTAATTTGTTGTGGAAGTTTAAATAAAACAAAATCTATCCAATCTTGTTCAACAACGTGATTTTACTTTATCACATATATTCTTGTGCAATTATTGAAAGAAATATCATATATTCTTGCTGCTCTATCAGCACCCTTGACAAATACTAATCTCTTAAAAAAAAACTGCTAATACGAAAAGATCTCTTTGTTTCCACATTTTACTTAGTATCGATTGCAGAATGAGGAACGTCTTTCAATGTGTGCAATATTCCTTTTAATGAATTACTATCTACTGAAAATGGTGTACATTTAAAATAATTTCAATAATAATTCTATCATATTTGTATCGAAAATGTGGTGATGATGTTTAATACAAATTTACAAGACAGAAAAACTCTCGCCTTCATGATAAAATAGAAACTAAAACACAAATAGTTGGAAGTGGGGATATTTTTTCCATCTATATAGGCTGTTACAAGTTCGCTTCTCACTACAGGGATCTCGGAAACGGTAAGAGATACGAAGTAGCTTAAAGGGGGGGCCAAGTTGCATAATCAGGGGACCGACATAATGCCTCTAAAAAATCAAGGCTAAACATGATTAGTTTTCGAAATATTTGAAAAAAACCTAAATTTTGGAAATCCGTTTTTGTTTCATTTCAGCCTTGTTTGTGGTGATATTGAAAAAAGTAGAACACTTTCTCATGGCCACTTTTTGCCCTCTATCGAATGGCATAATCAATTTTTATATGTAACGTTTCGTATCTCCAGGACCGGAATTTATTATACCTGTAACCGCAACTGTGAAAGAGCATGTCGGATAGATTTGAATGAATATCCTGAAAAGAATTATATCGAAATTTGTTTGAATTTTGAGCACTCGAGAAACTTAGAAATTACTACAAGCACGTGATTAAAACTCTCATAATGTTTTATTGTAATGTGTGATGGTAATAGTTTAAATAACTAAGTGGTTTTCACAGGGTCTAATGACACTTAGAGTGTACGAGTGTACGGTTGTATTTAAAAAAAATGAAATTGATGATGGTCCTGGAGAGACGAAACGTTACATATAAAAATTGATTATGACATTAGATAGAGGGCAAAAAGTGGCCATGAGAAAGTGTTCTTCTTTTTCAATGTCACCTCAAACAAGGCTGAAATGAAACTAAAAATGATATCTAAAATTTCGGTTTTTCTTCAAATATTTCGAAAATTAATGTTAGCCTTGATTTTTTAGACGCATGATGTTGGTCTCCTGATTATGAAATTTTGTTCCCATTTAAGCTAGTTCGTTTCTCTTACCGTTTCCGAGATCTCTATAGTGAGAAGCGAATTTGTAACAACTTGTAACCAAATATTTCTGTATGTATGTATATCAAAAAGTAACGTTTACAAGCAAGAAGTAGAATACCAAAATTATTATTAATTTAAATTATTTGGAAATAACTGCAATTTTTTGTCAACTTTGACGGCTGAAGAGCACAAACAAATTTTGGACATAGGTAAGTTTAGTTAAATCATGTTATTATGGCCCCAAGCATCTGTGGTAGTTCCGAGTAAACGGAATATTATGACACACTGGATATATAGGGTGTTCCATTAAAAAAAGACAAATTGGACAATATTTTATTCAGTTGTTTCTATATTTACAAATAGACGGTGAAAATTCGCTGGACAACCCTCACCATAACAAAATATGTTGAAAAACTGTTCCTTCTTGACAAATTTTCATGTAATTGGGTCAGTCGCACTGCTCCGAAACGGACTATACGTAGTGTTATTGATCAGGCGGTGAGTCAGTGTGCTGCCTTTACTCAGAGGCTATTTCTGTGTCTGACAGTTCTTACAGTTCTTCGGTTAGGAGTGTGCAACTGTGCTCCAAGCACCGATTTTCGCATTTTCGGGTGCATTTGATTTTTCGAAAATCTGCTCGAGATTTCGGAATCTTCAAAAAATTATATTGCACTGCTCCTGCACGCTCGTTGCTCAGTACGATAAATATTAATCGGTTTGTTTTCAAAGTGTGCGTGGAAATATCGTAGGCGGTCGATGTTTTGATTGGATTAGTTGCTTTTCTGCCGCCAAAAAATATTATTGCAGCTCATAGTTGGGATTTGAAGAAATAGGTATGTTGATTTAAAAAAAAAATGCTTGTCGGTTGGATAAATGTATGTATTTTAGATTATATATTACAAAATATAAAAAATTGTGATGTTGACTATAGAAAAAGAAACATTTTATACTATTTGAATTTCACACAAGGGATTTTTTTATTGAAATATTGATATTTTGGTGTCATTTTTAAGGGTGTGGTTTGACATGTCAAAAATGAAGTGTGCGCACCTTTTTATACCAAAAATTTTGGTGTGTATGCATAGAAATAAAACACAATTTTTAAACTGTATTTTTTATTATCAGCTCTTGCTTTAAGGGTATAAGGCTATTCCAAATTAGTTGTTAAAGTTTTCTTAAAAATTTGATGAAACGATATCATTTTGCCGTTTTGATACCAAATATATAGGTACGTTGAACACACCTAACTTAATAACCAAGCTAGTAATTAATAATTATCTCAAATAAATTTAGAAGTGGTCAATCTAAATATTGTTAAGCAAAAAAACGCATACCAGATATACTGAAATCATCAAATAATATAAACAATTAGAGATATATCGTTTATTTTTATTTTAACATAACCTTTGACAAAGTTCATCACCCCGTTAGGGTTATGTAAAATAATTGGATTTAATCTAGACATATTGTCAACACAAATTTCAAAATTTCTTTTTTTTTGTATGTTTATTATCCATTCAAGAAAGAGGTTACTTGAAGAAGCAAACTTTGAAAGAGATAATATAGGTCATATTTTATCTGTCGTGTATAAGTCTAATTATTGCACGATGGCCTTTGCCAAAAGTGATGTTAAGATTTACGTCCCATCGATGGAGATATATTTCTTTAGCACATCCAGGTTTGTATCTGCATTCCAAAAGATTAAAAACAAATAGAAATTGATTTTAAGTATCTTAATACCTTTACAGTAAAGCAAAAATAAAATATAATTCTAATAAAACAATAATGTGCTTGTATGGAACAATAAAATCTCTTGTAATATAAATATCGACCGTACAATATCTCTTAATACTTCCAAATATAGGTAACATTTGAGTATGACCTTTAAAGAAGACTAATTTGGAATTCTTAATTCAAAAATATAACCTTGGCACCGTTCTCATTCATGCCTCATGAAACTTTCAGTAACTGGTTAAATAAATCTGTTGCTCCGAGAAACAAAATTGTGATTTTCCCTTAGGTAGTTCAACACAAATACTTAAGGTTTCTACAGATTTTTTTACTCAAATCTTCACTTTGTTCTCTAATTAATTTGCAACTTTAAAGCCCATACAAAATAATATATTCGTCTTGTCTCAGTTCGTGTTTAGCGTGTAAAATAATTTATTTTTGGAAGCTTGTTATTGTATTTTGGATTATAAACAAACAAGCCGAAGAAACATTTTCAGCATAAACGAACAGATTTTTTTAAACGCCAGGCTGAAAAGCTAACTGAAAATTAATTGAGTAAGACTACTACTTAAAATACTGTCTGTTATAAACTGTTGTGTGAATATATGAAAAATGTCTTGTCTGTTTCTCTTGTCAGTTCTAATGAAGTTCGAACTTTTGCTGTAAGATTTTTATAAGAGAGTATATTTTAAGGTACAATATATTTCAAAACCTTAACGAATTGCTACTCGTATAGTTTATTTACAGTTACTCATTATTTGCTTATGTTATCATTATTTTGAAATCTTATACTTTTGCAGCATAGTAAGGTTTTCTTTGTTCTTTCTTTCATAAAATGCACAGTTATTGTGTCTTCTTCAACACATTGCGAATATGCTATTATTATCAACTAAATTGTCTAAGTTGATTTTGACACAGGTAGAACCGATTTTTTTAAATTTATTTGACTGATATTTTTAAGTTTAATGTTTTAATTTACTTATCAAGTATATTTTTATATTATCGTTTGAGTACATATTTACAGATCGAGGTATATGATAAGATTTCTCATTTGACAGTAAATATGTTCAATGTTCATATTAAGTAACAAACACGAGATTAAATAAACAAGGTATTTTTTTACTCTTTTTTAAGGTATTGCAAGATTACTAACTGCTGATACTGCGAGAACCAACTACTCCATGGGCTACATGCCTCAGCTAGTATTTTATTACACCACTCATTAAACAGTCAGTAGCGAACAATTATCCAAAATAAATTTAAAGATGAAATATTTAAATAATTAATAGAAAAACACATACCTGATATGTTTACATTCTCAAATAATGCAGTCATTCAGATAAACATCCTATGTTCTTGCCTTTAACAAAGTTTGATCACGCGAAAAACTGCTACAAATATATATTTTTGTTTCCACAGTTTACTTGGGATTGTTAGGTACATCTAGCCCAGTAAATGAAAAAAATTTGTAAAAAAATTCGTTTCAGATTGAAACTGATTGAAATTAATTTTGGGAATTAATCAATCAACCCTTAAACTTTATAATAACGGTTAAAGGTTAAAATACATTTTATAGTAATTTTTAACCCTTTAAAAAACGTCCTCGAATACATTTTTACACCTGGAATGTGGTGGGGGAAATAATACAGAAACGTTCCGAGACTTCCAATCTTAACTGCCCGAAAATTTTGCGATATCTCCAGTAATTGTGGACCATTTTTTTTTTAATCTGGGGTAGCGCATGAAAATAATAACAACTGCACAGTCCATTTTGCCGAAATTTCAAGTGTTAATGTTTATAAATAAACAAGTTATGAATAAAAAAAAAGCTATCTCGGCTAAAAATGGTCCTAGAACAATTTTTTTTTTAATTCGTGAAAAATTACCAGGATTACGAACATCAAAGCGGCTTTAAAAAATATTCATTCTTCGTAAAGTTATTAATGAAAAACCTTATAAACAAATTACACTATTTGTTTATACGCAATTTTGAGGAGGTTAGGCTATGCAATTACAATTTCCAATTGCTTATCTTGAAAATATAAGTCAAGGCGAAACAAATGAGCCCTCATAAGGCTCTTTATTATAACGCTAACAACCGCGTTTTTGCAATTGAAAAAAATGCCATTTCTAATAAACAAATGCAAAAACTCGTAAAGAAATAAATATTTTTTTACCAAATTTTCAGGGTTTTTTAAGCGTAACAAAATACAACTTTTACTGCAGTTTAGAGACGATTTATGCTCTTTTCTTCTATTTATAGCAAATTAAAATTTCGCTGCTTTTTTGCAATTATGGAAACAAATTGTTAATCGATTTTAATTTAGCAGGTCTCAAATGAAGCGTTTTTTGAAAACCTATAAGTATAAACAAAAGCAAAAACTCCTGTTGGAGAGCGCTTTTAGATACAGTTAAAAAAACTCAATTTTTGGTCACTTTTACATTATAATCATTGTTTAAACAATGATCTTGTTGTTTTAAACAGATACTTTTTGGGAAATATTATTTCTTTTTGCCTAAACTAATGATTAAATCAAGTTTCAATCTGAAACGAATTACCTTTTGATTCACATGTAACAAATTTCATTTACTGAGTTAATCAGACAGCTTCCCTTCTCGTTACAAACATTAACAGAAAAAGTTATAGTGGGTGAGTCATTAATAATGGTTACACAGCTTAATGGCAGATTGTTAACATCAAAATATAGCGATTGAACCAAACATGCCTTAATCAATTGTTGCTCCTTTTCGTTCTACAGGGTGTTGAAATTGAAAAAATATTTTTAATTTTTTGCCATATTTTAAGAACGTATGAACCGATTGTTTTAAAAATTTGTAGTTTTACGTTTATTGAGATGACAAATACGAATATGCAAACAGTGTTGGTATCACATCTAGGGGGCGCTAGTTATACTGTTCTGTCAACATAAAAGTATGTGTAACTTTTTATATTTTACAATTTTACAAAAATTCAAAATTGTAAAATATAAAAAGTTACACATACTTTTATGTTGATAGGACAGTTTAACTAGCGCCCCCTAGATGTGATACCAACACTGTTTGCATGTTCGTATTTGCCATCTCAGTAAACGTAAAGCCACAAATTTTCAAAATAATCGGTTAATACATACTTAAATTATAGCAAAAAATCACTCAGCTTCGACAATTCGTCAGTTTTGTGCCAAAAATAAGATTACTGTCTTCTCTCAACCTCCTCACTTACCAGACCTGACTCCTTGCGATTTTTTCTTATTTCTGAAAATAAAATCAGAGCTGAAAGGACGCCGGTTTCAGACTATTGATGACATCAAAATGAATTTGTCACAGACTTTAAAGGCTATCCAAAACTGCTTCGTGAAAGGGAAATACCGCTGGGAAAAGTATGTAAATAAGGGAGGGGAGTTCTTCGAAAGTGACAAGGACCAATAATATATAAAATTAATAATAAAGTTTAAAAAATATTTTCGATTATTTTATAAACAGACCTCGTATGTATTTTTGAAATACACAAGGTATATCAGTAAAATAAAAATAAACAAATCAATATTCCAAATTTACTCTCGACAGCGAGATAAACAATATTTCTGTAATATCTAAAAATAAGTAATTTCCGATAACTATTGAGTTAACTTTAGTAAACAATGTTACAAGAATGTAAATACGTAAATTTACACATGCAAACTATAAAAACAAACTAAAATTGCCCCTGAACTTTGTAGGTGTGGTTGGTATAAGGATAATTTAATTCATATATTTTTTCTCATTATTCAATTGTTTAATTGTGTATTATTAAATCATAATAGTGTGGGACAAATTGTAATTTGATATTACGTAAAAATGTAGATATTTGGAGGTGCAATGGAAACGAGACTTTTCTGCGGTACTATTTTGGTCGTGTAAAAATAATTGAAGAAGTAGGTCATGATCTGTTCATAATTTTTAATTGGGATAAAATGAAATGTTTATAAAATTTTCCATCGACTGAAATGTTAAAACTATACATTTACTCGTCATTTGGTCATCGCTTTAGGATTATTATGTGGTCTAAAATTTGGCAAATATTTACTATTTTTCTAATAAAAAAGTTTTTTAATTAATTTAACTTTAAGATTAAATATGGTAAGGATTTACTATTTTTGGAAAACGAAAGTATTTTTTTATTAATTTTCATTTAACAATACGCTGTTATACTATACAATTCATTTTTTTATTTATGTAAACATAAATACTTTTCGGGCATACCTTCTCCTCAAACTTTAGTAAAAAACAGACTTTATAAATGAAGCTGAAATGATGAGAACTTTTTCAAATTTTCAATTAATTTGATATCTTCTGATATAAACGGTATTTATGATACAAGAAAAACAATCGAAGAAAAAAAAATATCATAATAATTTATGTAAAAATATGTACTTGTACTTATTAATGTTGAGAACTGTTACTATTCTATACGAATTCCTAAAGTTTCCCTTCATTACAACTATTCATCATTATTCCATGATTTATGATGTCATGCATTCTTTAAATACAGATAATGAAACGCGTCATACAAGCAAGCAGCGGAAACGGTTTTGCAATATATTAGAATATTTAAATCTACACCTTCAACGTTTCAGAAAATAAATTTAGTAAAAAGGGCTAGGTAAAAAAAACCTATTCACATTAGTCTAGTCATACTTCAATACTTTCGGCTCTGCCGTTTCACAATTTAATTTTTTCTAAAAAATTTGTATATAATTTTGTTCTATTCATATGTACTAATTCTAACTGCAAGGACGCCATTTGAAAAAGCTATCTTAACAGCAGAAATAGTATGATCATACCTGTATTTTATCTACAGTGGCATTTTTTGTGATTCAAGGGTGAGAGCAACAATAATACAAGATATTGAAAAGTTTCAAAATGTCAGGTATGTGTTTTTGAATTAAAATATGTTCAATTTGTATTTAAACAATTATTAATTACTAGCTATTTAGTAGATATTGTTGGTATAATTCAATGCTAGTTGAGGCATGTAGGCCGTAGAGTACTTGTTTACCGCAATATCAGCATTAACAGTTAGGTATATTGTCTATATATGATCTTATCATACCTAAATTTTTTATATCAAATAAATTTACTTGACATCATTTGATAAGATTTTTAGGAATACATTTTTTTGAATTTATTTGAACTAATAACGAAATTTAATTTTATTCCAACTTACTACTACTCGAGAAGAACAAATGTTTCAACGGGATATTAGGCGGATATTTAGAAACTTAGACACATCAAACGATCGTGGAGTGAAAACTATTTATAAAACAAACTTTTTTTGCCAGATATCTGTCTAAACTATTAGCCATCAACGCTCAACTAGTGGTGTGATCAAATGAAAAATGTCCTGCCTTGAGATATTTTGGCAGAATAGTTTATCTTATTGCGTAATATCAGTAGCCTTGATTTTGAGCAATGAAAAAATCTATTAACATCGCCACACATTAAAAATGTGTTTAAATAAATTTTTGGAACTAAATTTCATATTTTTTTCATATTTTGGAAAGATTGCTAGAATTTTGCCATGATGAAGATATATTCTCAATTGTTTGGTAACTTACTTATAGACTTCGAAATAATCAAGGAAAACCTGAATTGACATTTTTTAATTCCTTTTAATTCCTAAATATTTTACCAAAACTTTTAGAGCAAGAGTATTTATGGCGTTCTTGTATAATTAAATATCACATTTTTTTGTAAGTTTGTAACTAAGTTAAATACATTTTAAGATTTAGACAACTTATTCACTTTCAAAAATTAAGACCTTTTGAGATGTAGGTCAACGAATTTAAAGGTATGTATCTTGGTCTAAATCGTAAAAAATTTTCGAGTAAACAATTTTGAAGAAAAGTGAAGTTTAATTAGACTGCGATCCCCCTAAATGTTCATAAACTGCAATAGAATATTAAAATTCATTTTTCTCGGCAATTATTTTTTACAATACAAAATCGCCAGCAACAAAAAATATGGCAAAAACAAATACTATTTAAAGTTTTTTAGCAACCTCTCTGTTTTATGTAAAAAATAAGCTTATTTCATGTTTGACTATCCCAAAAAGCCTCCTAGGCCAAGTTTCATTGAAATATGTTAATAATAATTGATGGAGTTATCGTGAAATGAATGAAACGAAAAAAAGGTAGGCGCTAAGAAGTATTTCGGTACTAAGATAAGATCGGTTAATTGATTTGTATTGATCTGTGGAACCTTTAGATACATTTTTTAAGCTGATTGTGACTCACTATATATGTTTAATGTTCAATCATTAAGTGGCGTAATTTTCAATGAATTTTTTGTCCAGAATTTTAGAAAATCTAAGAAAGTTAGAAACAATATCTCTTACTTTACTGTACCAGTCATACATATAAATTTTCATTAGAGTGCAAAACAACTGACAATACATTCAAAATAAAAATAGAAAAGCATATTTTTACCTCGTATGTTTATCTTACGATTCCTGAATTTTGCACACTTGTTGAGCATACAGAAAATGGAGTACTGTCAATGTGGCAACGTCTTAAACTTTTAAAACCATGTATGAAACCAGCGATTTTATTTTTCAAATATTTCATTGGTGCTGTCGTATTTCAACATATCAAAAGTCTGCTATTGCATCTCATCCATCATTTTACCTCGATAAATCATTGTAATAGGGCGCAAAGTACAGAAATGAAACACAGAAAAAATGGCGGAACGTGATACTCATATATTAGTGAATTTCGATGCTTTGACCATACTTTGGAAACAGAACTCCCCTAAACTCCACTACTTATCAAAAAGATGTATCATTGGATTCCTTAGAGTGTGTACTAACCGGCGAACTTTTGCGAATATTCACATAATTCGAAGAATTTTGTAGTAAACCGTGACAGCGCTCGTGAAAGAGGTTAACTCTTTGATGGAGCCATACATTTTATTTCTCAATGGAACTTTTTTTTAATGTGGCATCCAATTATTTTTGGGGTCGCTGATTACGAATCAGAAGTCAAAATTGTAAAATTCAAAATGGCCGATCCAATACGGCGGACCAATAATTCAAATTTTTTTTTAAAATTTCATGAAAATCAGTACCCGGGTTTTTTTCGAGTCGCTAATTACGAAGCTGAAGTCAAAATTGTAAAATTCAAAAAGGTTGTTCCAATATGGCGGACCAATACTTCAGAAAATTTTTTAGTTTTCATGAAAATCAGTATTCGGGGGTTTTTCGGGTCGCTGATTACGAATAAAAAAAACCCTCGGGACACTATTATTTTAAGAAATATTTCAACTACTTATTTGGATTTACAGCAGAAAAAAACGATTTTTCTTGTTTTTTTTTTCTAATAATTTGTAGTACTTAATATCTATTAATTTGTAATATAAAACGAAGCTGCGAAAAAATCTGAAAAAATTCTGAAAAATATTTTAGGGTGTCCTAAATAAGTGTCTAAATCGGCGTTCCGATATTGAGAATACTTTAGTGGAAAATGCATGTATCTCATAAAAAGCACATATTTTGAACATTTGAAAAATTGGGCTTATGAATTTTGAAGTTAATGTTTTATGTATAATATTGAATTCGAAATAGGTAATAACCTGACTTGAGTATTGTCATTTCTTGCGAAACCATTTTTATTGTTTTTTCGGTTTTGTACAAATTGCCGTTTACCAGTTCTCCGCAACTGCATCTTCTAATAAAAGATTTAAGGCGTCAAGATCTTAACTATAATATCTATCTACTTCAGCGATATTTTGCAAATGCTGTAATTTTCCATATGTAAACGCAATTAAGGTCAAAATCTCAATTTATAATTTTATAATCATCGTATTGGATCCGCCATTTTCAATTTCTGAATTTTGAGTACGGATTTCAAATTAGTGACCTAAAATACCTTTCAGTACCAAATTTCAGCAAAATCGGAGCATTTTTAGCATTTTTGTTCGCCACCTGGATCTGTCACTTTGAATTTCTAAATTTTGAGTACGAATTCGAAATCAGCAACTCCGAAAACCTATTAATATCAAATTTCAGCACAATCAGAGCATCTTCAGCATTTTCGTACGGCATATTGGATCCGCCATTTGTAATTTATTAATTTTGAGTACTGATTCGAAATCGGAAGAACCTTGGAGTACCACATTTCATAGCAATTGGAGCACTTTTAGTATTTTGGCCACTTTTTCAGATTCCCGGCCCAGAGTGCGTTGCAGCAAATTTTGATAGCATTCTTTTCTCGTCAAGATAAACAAAAAAGAATAGAGTAACATTTTTCCTAAAATGCTTCCTAGAGACTCTATGACACTGACACTGACAGAAAAGCATTGTTATTAACAATGTTATTGATTAATTACTCAATAAACATTAAAATACAGACTAATCAAGCACGTGTAAATGGATTGATATCTCCAAAAACGTATTTTCATACAGGACTGTACTTCACAACGTATATTTCATTTCGTGCGTATCATTCACGGTTTAAATTTGTTTGTGTTGTATGTTGTTTTCGATCCATTTAAAATATCGAGCATCGATTCAGTAGCTGAAATGTCTGAATAAGAAAAAAAAAAGAGTAAAAACAGCAATTTGTTGTTATGTGTAGAATTTTATAACTTTTTGATAGCACCTATTTCAACTTTTCTAAATGCTTAAACAGCTCTTTAAAATATATTTTTTTAAAACTTGAAATGATTTTAAAGAATATTTCAAACTCAGATTGGTAAAATTTTTTATTATTTCTTTTTTCAGATTAGTATTCAGGGGAACTTACTGTTACCACTTAAAGTTACACCCTGTAATACATGGTGTATATTGAAAAAGTTAGGTGTCTACTAAGTTGTCTATTATTGTCTTTATGTTACAGGACCTAGAAAGTCAAAAGGATGTCGCACACTGTGACGGTAACAAGGACGACCACCACCACCACCACGTCGGCCATCATCATCAACACCGGCTACTTGAAGTCATGGCCCGGCCTCCTGAAACTGGCCGAATTGGTAAGGATTGTTTACAAAACACACCCGATTCCGTTCCAAAATAGACTTCTGACGTCAAACTTTTGGGGCCGAGCGTTACCAAAACTCCGCGGTGTTTGTATTTTTTAATTGGACCCGTTGCTGGATTTATAAACGTCTAAATAAGTAGAGTGGACATCTGGTTAAATGGAATGGGAATAACGAGATTGTTTCCATTTCCACGGGGGACAGGGTCGGCTTGAAACATTTTGAGGCCCCAAAATATGACTTTAAAGTTTTATCCACAAGCAACTTTATTAAAGTCTTTCCGAAATCAGTTGAACATGTATAACAAAAACCGAGGAATCAAATTTAATAAGTTTCATAGGAGTCTCTAAAAAATTTTCTGATAAAGGTAAAAATTTTTAATAATTTGTATATAATGTGTAGAAAATTTCTATTATATGTTCATTTGGACAACAACATATTTTAATTATTTATGTCCTCAAACAATTTTATTATATTGATGGTAAATT